GAAAATACCAGCAGTCTTATGGCAGCACCATCTATGATTAATTTAAACAGCTTCTTAAAAACATTTTTCTGGAAAAACATATACCAGTATTATGTACAGTCCATGATTCATCAACCTCTGTCATACACTGCCCCAGAAAACAAACAAAACTTCCCTTGGTGCATTAGAGTAGCCAGATAGGAATATTTTTCACTCTTCACTCTACTTAACAGATTTAACATTCATCTCCCTTCCAGCCCTCCAGGTTTTATATAGCCCATATGTGGTCAGTTAGGCTAGTCCATTTGTAGACATTTAGTAGAGGGTTTTCTTTTTTAAAATTTTAATGAAACTACCCAAAGAAACTATAGTTTGAAATACAATAACTTGTACCATGTTTATCATCTGCATAAGCCCATAAAAAATAAAGTAAAGCTTAAAGGCCCAAATAAAAACAAAATTGAGCCTCATCTCTATTTCAACATGAAAGGGAAATAAGTAAAATATTTAATGGCCAATGTATGTTTTATCACTAGTAATATAAGCCAGGTCACTACTGCCAAAGTAAAGAATAATTTTTCATTTAATTTTTATAGGTACTTCCTCAATATTATATTTTGGGTAGGTTGGTGAAAGCCAGATAAATTTATGCAATCAGAAAAATAAAAGAAGAATTCATGAATAGATTGCCCCCAACTACATGCTTCTGTGGCCTTGTCTGCTGGGCCCTCTGCCCCAAACTGCTGCTTCTGTGATGCTGATTCACTCTACTCTCCATGCTGTCCCTGCTCTTATGCCCTTTAGTAGATTTTCCATCCCCGGGATATTCTTATCCTAATTCCTGCTCACTTTTCAAAACTTTGATAAAGGGATCATCTTTTCTGTGTTCCCACCATAACTACCCCCTTGGTCAAGGAACTAATCACTCCCTTTTGGCCTATGTCTTTACTTTGGTGTGTGTGTATATATATACACACCAAAGTGTATATATATATATATATATATATATATATATATATATATATATATACACATATATACATAATACATATATATCACTGTCAGATGATTATAAAGATTTTTACTCTTTCATATTAATACATAAGATCTTTGGGGGTTGTGAATATTCTATGCACATTGATCTTGGCATACTACTGACTTGCTTAGTACTTGATATAATGATACACAATAGAAATTTGTTGGATTGGCCTATATGAAGGGATAGGTATTTCTATCTTAAAGTCATTGATTGGAAGTATCCTAATATCTATTTTTTGTTTGTCTGTTTTCATGGTGTAGCATCTAGCATTCTAGAGCCACCTTAAAAAAAAAAAAGTAGAATTCTTTCTATCTCCCAAGTAAACTCCTTTAACCCATGGCTTCTAAATTACAAATTTAGTTGAAAGAACATGTGGAGCTTCTAAACAAGTATATGGATAAAAATAGCATTCATCCTGCTTTATTGAAGCCAAGATTAGATCAGTAGATTGCCATTATGGATTTGCCACTTTCTTTCTCTTTAAAATAATAAAATGTTTAAGTTTTCTGTAAGAAGCATCTGTATAGATTTAGCAGTTGTCATATCATACATGTATACATAGACACACAGGGAATGATTTGAGAGATATCTCCAAAAACAATTTGAGGAATCTGTACTGTTGCTGAAGTTCACAAAGATACTTTTTTCATGAAAGCAAATATTCATTAAAAACATGTTAACAGATTGCTCAAATATTGTAGTGAGAGAGAGAGATAGCTCCTGACCTTCCATCCATGTTGGGGATTTATGTTGAGGAGTGGTTCTCAAAGAGAAATAGGTATTTGGAATTGTGTGGGTGGGGATAAAGTTTTTGCCGTTTTTGTTGTTGTTTTTGTTTTGTTTTTGTTTTTTTTTGTTTTGTTGTTTTGTTTTTGTTTTTTTTTTTTTGCTAGGGAAGCAGTAACATAAGGACTGAAAGACGTTATTGACACTTGAGGGTGGCAACCAGGAATGATAAACATTCTCCACAACAAAGATACTCCTTCATAAAAAGAGCTTTCCCAGCCATGGTGTTAGTAATGCTTCCCTGAGAACTACAATGAGATGTTGTCAACTGGATCTGACAAAGTAAAAATGGGTGCTAATAAGGAAAAAGCTAGAGTGAATGGCAGTGTATCAACAGCATGACATAGTCACCCAGTCCTAACATTTGGTTCAGTTCAAGGAAGCTACCAGAAATGTAAGAATACAGACTACAAAAAAAACAATAAAGAAGAAAGAAAGAGAAAGGAAGGAAGGAAGGAAGGAAGGAAGGAAGGAAGGAAGGAAGGAAGGAAGGAAAAGAAAAAGAAAGAGAGAGAAGGGAAGGAAGGACAGAGGAAGGGAGGAAAGGAGAAAAGAAAGGAAGCAAGAAAGGAAGGCTAGATCTGAGTCATGGGCACAACTCATTTGCCAGGAAGTTCTTTATTAGAAGCACATCTTTTTGGTCACAGTATCTACAAATATCCATCTTGTTTAAAAACCAAAAACAAAACTAATATATGACAATATCTTATAAAAAAGTCTAGTCCATTCATTTAGCAAATATTTATTAAATATATTCTTTAGGGATCCCTGGGTGGCGCAGCGGTTTGGCGCCTGCCTTTGGCCCAGGGCGCGATCCTGGAGACCCGGGATCGAATCCAACGTCGGGCTCCCGGTGCATGGAGCCTGCTTCTCCCTCTGCCTGTGTCTCTGCCTCTCTCTCTCTCTCTCTCTCTCTCTCTCACTGTGTGCCTATCATAAATAAAAATAAATAAATATAAATAAATAAATAAATAAATAAATAAATATATTCTTTATTACAAGCTGCTTTAGATCCTGCTAATTGAATGATGAATGAAAACAGACATGGTCCATCCTCTTATGTCATTCAACGTCTACAGAGATTATCAGATTCAACAGGTTTCATCTTTTTTACAAAAATATTACCATCTAGAAGACTAATAATAAGAGATCTTTCCTTTCGTTTATGTAAAAATGGAGTTATAGTATCACAAATATTAGGACAAAAGCCATGGTCATGCCCAAGGAGGAAGGGCCAGTAAACCGCCTGACAGGAAAAGATTTCTGGTTAATAGCAGGCATATATAAACATACACATTATGACCCCATTCTTTTAAAAAAATGTTTTTTTAATTCTGGTTAAAATACAGTGTAATATTGGTTTTAGGAGTAGAATTCAGTGGTTCATCACTTACATTCAACACCTAGTGCTTATCACAAGAGTCCTCTTTAATCCCCATCCACCATCTAGCCCATCCCCCACTCACATCCCTCCATCAACCCTCAGTGTGTTCTCTATCAATAAAAGTCTCTTGAGGTTTTGTTCCCCTCATATTTGTGAGCCCATTCTTTATAAACTAAATTAAAAGATAAACAGCTTTGCTACATTAGGCCCAATTACTTTGAACTATAGTTTTAAAATGAATTCAGCTAAGCTTTCTCATCATCATTTTAGTTTTTAAAATTATTTGTTTGTTTTGCTTGGCAAGTAAAGCTATCATCCAAATCAAATAATGGAATAAATTTAAAGGGGGGAGATAGGGGAGTTTGCAACTGAATTATCCAATATCCAATTTGGTTTCCTATAATGGTCAATTTTCCCAGATAATTATTTATTTCTTTTACTTTATCTCTGAGTATGAAAAGAAGATCTAAGTCCTTTACCTTCCCCCTCTGTCCCCTTTCTCCACAGTAGCCAAATCATTTAAAGACAGTCCTTGGTCAGATCAAAGGATTTACAGGAACTACAACCAATCCACAGAATGATGTATATACAAAGATTGTCATTGCAAACTGCAAAATAAAGAATCACCTTAGTAATATTTAAAAAGAAATATATTGACAGTTCAGTCACATCCTAACTGCTCAATACCTCTCCCCAAAGCAGGATGAATGTTTGCATAGGAATGATTGTCCTCCATTTCCTGGACAGGATGTGAGTTTGGTGTCCTAGAGTTGCCTGTGCACTCAGTTAAAACCTCAGCTGTACTGAATCCCTAACTCAGCATTAGAGAAAATAAGAAATGATCAGAAGATGTTGACTTTATGCTAAATTTATCAATCAAATGAACTGAACTGTTTCCAAGAAAAAGTCATACAATTTTTTTTCACTGAAAAATGTTTTTAAAATGTGGTCCTCAGACTGCTGGCAGTCTGCATCATTAAGAGAACTTGTTGGAATTGCAAATTCTTGACCCCTACCTTAAATAGCAGAATCTCTTGGGGTGAGGCCCATCAATCAAGCCTCTCAAATAATCCTGATGCATCTTAAAGAGATATAGGCATAGATTGTGTCATAGAATATAAATGTGCTCTAAAACTACAAAGACATATTTATGATGCACTCGATATATAATGAGGGAAGCCCTGAAAGAAAACAATACAAATAAGAAGAGAAAGGAGAGTTAAGTTTTTCCTGTGCTTTAATCTAGTGACTAGACTTTATCTTTCAAAAGTGATAAACAGATGCCTTGGCAAAGGAAAAACTGGCTCATGAAGCTCTGATAAAAGATCACAGGAAATACTTGCTTCAGATTTTGCGTAACTGTTTGTTTTATCCAGAACCTCTAATAAAAGATCACAGGAAATATTTGCTCCAAATGTTGTTCAACTGTTTGTTCTAAGGGAAATTCTTTTTCTTTTCAGCTAAACAGTTGTTTTCTATCACTTCGGAAAAGTTTTTTTTTTTTTTTTTTTTAAGGTAAGGAAGTGTTACCTCCCCCTCTCAAAGAACACACATCTATAAACACAGATACACATTTGTCCACAGAAAAATACATGAGTGGATTCCATGTAGGTCTTTCAATGTTAAAATTAAAATTTGTGGGTAGATACAATATGTTGCTAGATATGGCAGATGGGTAAGTTTAAGTAATCAATCATACTTGTTCCCTTGCTAAAATTGAATTTGAGTTTTAAATTTCAATTTGAGACATTATGCCAAAGGACCCTCAACCTTTCATGTGTAATGAATATGTTTTTCCCATGTGTCTGATAGAAGTATGGAACCCTGGGATAGGTTTCCCGATCACCAGGATGACCCTGATAACTACTCAGAATCTGTGAAGTTTGATGCTCGTTCAATGACAGCCTTGCTTCCTCTGAGTAAGTAGAAGGGTGGGGTGCCCATGGACTTGTCCTTACAGGTAGTGACACTGTGTAAATACAGTCCTGGAACTTACCTTACCTGTGTATGAATGTTAAAATAAGACTTATTGGATAAGTAGGTCTTCTCCTCTTTTCAGGCCAAAGAGAAAATAAACTTAGGTTGGACTAAGGAAGCTTTGTAATAGGTGAAATTGGTCCACAGTGTTGATAGAGTCCTCTGATTTCTAGCACCACTAATTAATATCTGAAAATCATGGGTGGTATGTGTTTGTATTAGGCTCCTAGGGCTGCTGTAAGAAATTACCAGAAATAGTGTGGCTTCAAACATTTATTCTCTCACAGTTCTAAAGGCCAGAAATCTGAAGTCAAGATGTCAGCAAGGCAGTGCTCCCTTTCAAGGCTCTAGGGAAGAATCATTACCCTCCTCTTCCTAACTTCTAGTTGCTCCTGCCAATTCTTATTGTTCCTTGGCTTATAAATGCATCACTCCTATCTCTGCCTCCATCTTCACACGGCCGGTCTTCTTCCTGTGGCTTAGTGTGTCCTCTACTCTTCTTGTAAGGACACCAACCATTGGCCAAGGGCCCACTTTATTCAGTATGACCTTATCTTAACTTGATTATACCTGCAAAGACCGCATTTCCAAATAAGATCCCATTTACAGGCAACTGGGGTTCAGAAGTCAATAGTATCTCTTGTGTGGAAATAATTCAATCTACAACAGTGTTGAGACAGAGGTTTGCATGGTTACAAGAGCTCAAAAGAATCAGTATTCGGTTATATCTGGATGGGTTCTTTTTAAAAAAAAATATTTATTCATTTGAGAGAGAGAAACAGAAAGAGCACAAGAGAGAGTAGAGAGCACAAATAGGGGGAACAGCAGAGGGAAAAGCAGACTCTCTGCCAAGCAGGGAATCTGACATAGGGCTCAATCCTAGGACCCCAAAACCACGATCCAAGGCAAAGGCAGACACCCAACCGACTGAGCCACCCAGGAGCCCTTGGATGGGGTCTTTTAAGGCAGCAGGACCTAGTTGCCTATAATTCTGCTGAGCTTTAAAGGCTGAATACATTTCACCAAAAGGGTAGAGTGGATGAAAGAGGATCCACAGAAATTTCAGTCAGAGGAAGCGGCATATGCGAGTGACAAGATGGATGAGTTCTTACACAGACAAATCTGACATACAGACGGTAACCCCAAGGCATAAGGGTATTGTGCTCTACACAAACGATAGATGGGAGAGTGTGCGTGGAATTGATGAGACAAAAGGAAAAAAGATCGTAGTAAAAGCTGTTTAAGGTAGAGATGTTGAGAGATTGAGGAGGGAGGACAGAGGCATTGGAGACAGAGAAAAGACAACAGGAACTTTGGAGAGCTACTTGAAAGGCAGAATGCAGAGGATTTGATTGTAAATTAAAAATACAGGAGATGGTTGATGAGTTTCAGGCTCATTCAGCCTGGCAAAAGGATATCTCATCTTGCTTGTTTTGTGGGTTGTTCTTTTTTCTTTTTCCTTAGATCTTTCTCTTTTTTTTTTTTTTTTTTTTAGCTTTTCTGGGTCTTATTTTTGCTTAAAAATATTCTCTCCTTTTCAATCCTTCATAGATCATTGAAAAACAATATCTAAACTTTTGTTTTTAAATTGGGAATTTACCACCTTTTTTATTGTGCAGTGAAACCAATGGCCATGGGATAAAATTTTTAGAAAAATCTAAGATTTTTTTAAAGTTATTTGAGACAGAGAAAGAGAATGAGAGAGATAATGAGCAGGAAGAAGGGCAGAGGGAGAAGCAGACACACCACTGAATGGGAAGCCTAATGTGGGGCTCGATCCTGGGACACAAAAATCATGATCTGAGCCAAAGGCAGATGCTTAATTGACTGAGCCATCCAGGTGCCCAGGAAAGAAATTTTTAATGGGTGTCTTATTCACCTAATCAGAGAAAATGTCTTTGTCCCCTACTAAGATTCCCATCCACATTGTGTTAACTTTTCTACAATTAGTATCCCATTATGTGAATCACTATTCCCAATAAATGGATAGTATGAAAATATTAATATTTTCTGAAATGCCCATAGGATGGGCTTCATTGATCTATTCCAAAGTTTAGTCAAAATGTGAACACTTTTCTTTCATTTTTTTCATTTTTAAAGTATTCAAATCATAAGAGGTATCCAAATACAGAATTATTGAAATGAAATTGGAAAAGAATTTGCATAATTAACATTGAAAACAGATGTCTCTTTTATCTGCTTTAAAGTCTGAAAAAAATCATAATTATATAGTTACTTGAGGAATCTGATTTTTGCTCAGAATATATTCCCACATGAAACAGAATAAAATTTATGTTTGAATATGTTGGCAATATTATTAAAATGTATCCAAAACATATTAAAATTTGTCAGCTAACTAATGCCTCTAAATGAGACAAGTACAAGTATAGAGAACAGTTAACTGTCATAGATGTTTAGTTAAGGAAAGTAAATCAGATGTTCATAGTGAGGTCCAGATTGGCTTTTCCTGTGACTCTTCTTTTGCTTCCTCCTTAATAAATGGGGACCGATTTTTTGTTCCATAGGCTTGGTAGCAATGATAGAACTGGAGATTACCAAAATGTTAGGTAAGAAGAGTTAAGTTTTCTAACAGTAGGTTGGGGTTTTGTTTTTCTCAGATCCCAAAAATGGCCCTGCCGTTCAAGAGAAACTGAAGTCCCTCAAAGCTGCACTGATTATCCTTTATCTCCTTGTGTTTGTAGTTCTCATACCGATCATCGGAATAATGGCAGGTACAGTATTCTAGACTTTTGAAACTCAACAACTCATTCTGTGAATTAGTTATTGTAGAAACAAAAGCAAGAGTTCAATCTTTTGTATAGGGGAGACTCACAAGGGAAACATCATATCACAAAGTGTTCCTCAAATTCATAAATTAAAAAAAGATTCTTCAAAGTTATTTAGTAAAAAAATAAAAAATAGAATAGAGAATGGAAGATCAAGATAAAAATACAGGTATGTTAAGGTGAGATGGAATGGATTAGACCATTCCAAAAAATGTTATCCTCTGGAGTCCTATGTACTTCTAGTGGTGGATCATGAATTTTATAATAAGTATTCCAGTTGCCAATGTAAAGATATAAGCAGGACCATTTACATCCACAATGCCTAAAACAAAACAAAACAAAACAAAACAACAATAAGAAGACAAGCCAGTTGTTTTGGTGGGGGGAACCTCTTCTGTTCCTAGTACTGAGAAGAGAAAGAAATATTCTGTAAGTTTTCAAAGAGGAGATCTTGCACAATAATGACCTATATTTCAGGGATATGTTTCAGGAATATGGCCACATGTTTCATAAGGCTATTATTTAAAACATTTCTAAAAAACAAACAAACAAACAAAAAAACATTTCTAAAAATAACCTGATGGCATCTCCTCAAAATAAAAAAAGAAGGTTTGATAAAACAACAACTGTGAAAAAAGAAATAAAAAAAAAAAAACAACTGTGACAGTAGCTGTCACTTTTGGGATTTACTAGACACTGGCTTATAAGTATTCCACAGATTATCTTAATATACCTTTACAATTGCCCTTGAGCAGACATATACTTATCCTTATTATCCACAAAAGGAAACAGACTATTCAGTAGTAGAGCTGCAGTTGTCACCCATGAGTCTTGACTCCCAGCCTCTATGGTCTACTATCTCCCAGTGTAATTGAATTTTTAGAACAAATGTGATTGGCCAATTAAATGCATGCACACACAAACGCACACACATGTGCAAAACAGTTTCCATAATTTTAGCCAAGAAAATATTACCACAGGTAAAAATGAATTCCTATTTTGATCATTAAAAAAAATAAAAACAAAAACTAACCACAGCAAACCAAACTGATCAGCCAAGCAAACCAACCACAGCCATCTATGGAAAAGGACCTGATAAGTCTGTCATTACACAGCTGACTTCCTGATGAATTGAGATTATTTGCATGTTGTTTATGTATAGCTTTTGTTCATTTGAAATGCACAATTGAAGGATGTTTCATTGCTTGGGATCATTAAATATAAGCCAGTTATAAAAGGCTATCACTTTTATATAAACCATGGCCTGCAGAGTCAATGCCAGGAAATGCAACTTCTATCTAGCAGACATGCAAAATGGGTCAATGAAGTCTGGAAAGAATTCAGCATTTTAACAAGTTCAAGGTCTTTGGACTATTAGAAAATACTACCAAGTTTCCATATTCATTGTTGTGTTGAAATGACTGATCCAAAGTAGTTTTGTTAAAAAAAAAATAGAATGGAAGAAAGAAAGAAAGGCATTTTGTTTCCTAAAACTATAGCAGGCATCTAGTAAGACTGACAAGAAGTTAAAAATGTTCAAATCTTGTAAGTTCACATTAGCACTTAAATTCACCAGAACTTGGAATATATTTCATTGTTTCTGTCACACTTGAATAAACAATTGACAATCCATTTTCAACTTTAATTAAGTTACAGATCATAATATTTTTCAAAAACAAAACAAAACAAATGCAACATATATCTCTACTTGATATTAAAAAATTATAAATAAAGACAAAATATACCCCAAAAGATAGAAATTACCCTGTTTTGGCAAATATGAATTGATGGATGAAATAAAATGTTGTGCATAAAAACTCCATTTAAATTTAAAATATATGATGAAAGATACTTCTTTTTTAAAAAAAATAAATATTTTATTTATTTATTCATGAGAGACACAGAGTGAGAGAGAGAGGCAGAGACATAGGCAGAGGGAGAAGCAGGTTCCATGCAGGGAGCCTGAGTGTAGGACTCCATCTGGGTCTCCAGGATCACAATCTGGGCCCTGGGCCGAAGGTGGCGCTAAACCACTGAGCACCCGGGCTGCCCTATGAAAGGTACTTCTTAATGATAAAAGCTACTCCATATGCTGTCATTTCTTAATGAAACTCCTGTATCTCTATCATAGTAAAACAACATCATAATGTCTCTGTTCAATAAAATACAATCTAGGATTAATGTATATATAATTGTTGCTGAAATACTGAAGATTCTTTAGCTCAAAATAATACAAATTTTTGGCAAGAAAAGATATTAGCAACATGAAGGAGTGAATGTGATCTGTGAAATCAAATATCACTCTTTCCCTGGGGGTTTGCACAAGCCATAAAAGTTTGTCTCCTTTCAAATATGAAATAGAAAAGTCACAAAATGCCATCTTTCCAATGGTAATGAAAGAGATGAACATTTGAAAATCTGAACTCTGGCATTCTTTAGCTAGATTTATGGTACAGAGTTAAACAGTTTTTTTTTTTTTTTTGAAAAGTTAGGATTAAATTAGCTTTCCTATAGGATTTGGGAAAACAACGTTGTGCTTGTAAATCTGTAAGCAAAATGTAGTCTTTATTTTCAACTTTATGGTGAAGTCCATGTCAGATGGAAACCTTTGGTCACGTGATATTTTGTCAGTTCAAGTCTTTCCTCTCCATCCTGTGAAAAAGATTTGCTTTATCCATATGAAATAAAAACTGTTTCCTGGAAGAGAAAAATTACATGGTTGAGCAATTAGATCACTATGCTTAGTAAAATAAAGTCTGGATACTACAGTAGTTATTGCAATGCCCAATCTCCCCCAGTTTTCTATATTAAACAATATTAATTGTTTATTGAAAATATTGATGCATACAGATAAACTCACAGAATTCGAATCCAAAATATTAATAACACAAAAGCTGAAAGTTACCAAATGCTTATCATATACCTGGAAATAATATAAGCACTTTACATATATTATCTCATTGAATTATTTGACACCGACTATTAGAATCTATCATAAAATTAGTATAATAGAAGCACTGACAGGATAATTTGCCCAAGATCACAGATTAAAAAGGAAAGAGTGAGAATTGCTAGCCCAGGCAGTTCCACTCCAGAACCTGGATTCTTACTTGCTACCTAAGAAAACAATAATCATCATGAAAGGAACATTTTTAAGGGACATATTTGAATAGTTTTGTAAAAATTGTTAGCTTGGATCTCTATAATAGTCAAAATCCTTTCTCAGTTTTACATTTCCAGAATTGCTCAGTGTTCTATACTTACAGGTGCTTGATATATAAATCATAGAATTAAATGTCTGAGTGAGCCTGTCAGTCCAGAACTTGCCCCTTACAATGTAATACATGTGATGAGATTAACTAAAAAATAGACTTTTTAAATCCACTTTATTGATAAAGTAAGAAGTATAAAATAATACAGACTCTGTGGTTTATATAGAAACATTGTCAAGCATTTTATTAACTCAAATAAGCTAATTTTAAAGAATATAACTAGGAAGACATGATATAATGTGGCTTCTTAAAAATTAGGATTTAATCGCATACATAGCTTCATACTTATTCCTCATATAATAATAGCTACAATAGTAGCCATCATCAAACAGTTTAAATAAAGATGGTGAAGACTGTAAACTAAGATCATATCTTTCATGGATAAGGCACTTTAATTTGAATAGAATTTTCCTATGGGCCACCTGTGTTCTGTGGGATTTACATGCCTTATCTTATGCATCCTGAACACCACTGTTGGAGGTAGTTACTACCTATCTTTGAGGAACCTAAGAAGAGAACTTTCCCAAAGTACCCCAGCTAGTAATTGAGGAATGGAACTAGATTCTAGAATCAGGCAGCTTGTTCCTGACTAAACACCAGCCTTTCATTTATATAGCAGGTAACCTTGAACTCAGGGTGGAACTAATCTCAAAAATCCATGTGGCTGATAATATTGCCATATCATTTTTTACTAAGAAAACTTACATATCAGGTATAGCTCTTTATGTAGATATATATTTCAAACCATATACAGAAACTCTTTTTATTGCTAATTAATGATCAAATGTGAAAAATCTTAATGCATTTAAAATAAATGAATAAAAGACTGATATATATGTAGATAAAATAATAATATAGATAGATACAGAGGGAGATATGAACAAACAAAATCTTAACTATCACTGATCAGTACTAAAATGTTATTTAATATTTTCTTTATTGTGCATAATTATGTGCTCTTTTTATCTGCAAAGCTAATGTTTATGCCTTTCATGATTTGAAGCTCCATACATGTTGCTCTAGATCCTTTCACAGAGTAATTGCCTTTTTTAGAGGACATGTGCCCATTTGGAAATATATATTGGCAGCTCTGTGTATCCCCCAAATACCATTTAATAAATAGAAAGGAAAGAAGGAAGGAAGGAAGGAAGGAAGGAAGGAAGGATGGAAGGAAGGAAGGAAGGTAGGTAGGAAGGTCTTTCTTCCTTTCTTTCTTTTTTAGGAAATAATTACTTAAAAGATTGTTTATCAAAGCATTGGGTATATTAGTAAAAACAGAACAAATTAAGCGAAGGAGTTTTGTTAAATAAATCTGGTAGATCCATGAGATAATACATTGGTATTAAAATTATTTTTGTAATAATAACATGCTAGTAAAAAGAGACAGATTTGGTATACATACAACCAAAATGTTGGCATTTAACTCAGGATAGTGAGATTAATGGTAAATTATTTTTCTTTGTTACCTACCTTTTAAAAGTTTTCATTATGGGGATCCCTGGGTGGCGCAGCGGTTTGGCGCCTGCCTTTGGCCCAGGGCGCGATCCTGGAGACCCGGAATCGAATCCCACGTCGGGCTCCCGGTGCATGGAGCCTGCTTCTCCCTCTGTCTGTGTCTCTGCCTCTCTCTCTCTCTCTCTGACTATCATAAATAAATAAAAAAAAAATTAAAAAAATAAAAGTTTTCATTATGAATATATATTTTAGAATGGGTAAAGAGAAATATTTTAAAAATAATATTTTTAAAGTGAAAAAAATATTTGCTTAATTTCCTGTCCCACCAATAATAAATTAGGCCTGCATAAACTGAAAATGACAATTCTCTGCCAGCTTAAGTGATTGGATGAGGAAGATGAGCCAACAATTTATTCATATGGTGGATAACACTAATACTTATACTTTTACCACATATTGTTTTTGTCACATCATTTATCTTCCTAACAGCTAATGTATTCAACATGCTTGCTTCAGATACTGTATTAAGCATTATCTCATTTTATCCTAACAAACCTGAGGAGTAGGACACAATGCACTTCATAATCATACTGTCAAAGCCAAATATGGTGGATCCAAAGATGCATATAAGCATCAATTCAGAAAGAATGACTTAATCCTAGAATAAATTCTAATGTAAAGTGGGAAAAGGAGGCTGTCTTCCTTTCTATAATGTGTGTCATGTGGTTCACACATTGTATATTTAAAATAAGTACCCAGTTTAGGACAGCATTCAAAATGTTAGAATGGAATGGAACGAAACAGAATGGAATGGTATACGTATTTAAGGACACAGGCCTTGACTCTGTTTATTTTTACTTAAATATACAGCACAGCTCCTGAAGTGGGAAATGAAGAATTGCACAGTTGATCCAATTAATGCAAACGATATATCTCAAAGTCTCACAGGAAAAGGAAATGACAGTGAAGATGAGATGAGATTTCAAGAAGTTGTTATGGAACAAATGAGCAACATGGAGAAGAGAATCCAATACATTTCGGATATAGAAGCCAATCTCATAGATTCAGAGCATTTCCAGAATTTTAGTCTGGTGACTGATCAAAGATTTAATGATGCTCTTCTCCAGCTGAGTACCTTGGTTTCCTCAGTTCGGGGATATGGAAACATGATAGATGAAATCTCCAAGTCGTTAATAAATCTGAATACCACATTGCTTGATTTGCAGCTCAATATCAAAACACTGAATGACAAAGTCCAATACAATACATTTAAACAGCAAGAGGTAAGAGTTTTTGTATTAGAAGGGTCATATGCTGGATTGAATCCAATCTAGATCTTGTCTCTTCAGCTAGTTCAAGAAAACAAAATTTGCAAACCTCATTTCAACATCATCTGACTTACTCTGATTCCTCTGGCAATCTTACCAGAAGGTTTTACGTGAATTTACCTACTGTCTTCTCCAGATTCCCAACAAAATGGGGATTTTTTTCCATTGGATATAGACTCTCTTAAAGTATTTTAGTTATATAAATCCTTTTATAGTACCTCTTAAGACGCATCTAAGCCAATTATAATTTTTAGATTATCTTAGTAGGTACTCTGTATTTGTAAATTTTACAACAGGCCCAAATTTCTTTATCATCAAAGAAATGGAAACCTTATTTACAGTAATAACATCAAAATCAACATTTTAAAATAGTTTATTTCATCATTTCCAAGAAGTATACATAAGTTTTAATGTGTAAAGACAACTTTAAAGAATTAAATTTTGAATAATATATACATTTTATTTTTATCATAGACTCAAATACACAAGAAAGCAAGCAATGTTTAAACCAACTTGCCAGCAAGTTTCACTGTAGGGCCAGATGTAAACATTTTAGACTTTGGGGACTACAAGGTTTCCCTTGGGACTACTCACCTCTGCCATTGTAGTATAAAAGCAGCCATAGACAATATGTAGACACACAAGGAAGGCTGTGATCTAGTTATTTACAAAAACAGACTTCAGCCCATGGACCATAATTTTCTCACATCTGCTATAGACTATTCTGTGGCCAACTAGCTGGATTACCTTGTACTGATGAGAAAGAAATTAAGAAGCAAGTCCCTTATTTTGAAATTGTATTGTTGTTGTTGTTAAATAATTATAACTATTCCATACCATAGAAAATAAGCACAACTAAAATTTAACTACTCTTGTGAAACAACAGTCTTTGTATTATCAAATATCTGAGACCTAAGATCATAATTAACATGAAGCCTATAAAATGTCCACTATTAGCTAAGCAACATTGGCATCTTGGTAGTAGAATTTAATTTGAATAGACTCATTTTTGATTAATGAAATTGCTTTCTATATGGAGACAGTATTAACGGTAGTGATTTTTAAAAAAGAATGTCACTTACTAATAATAAACCTCTAAAATTATAACATCAGGTAAAAACCAACTAAACTATTGACTAGACAAAACAGGGTAAGAAGGCATAGTGTACATCCTTTATTTGTAAGGTACAATCACTCAGAACTTTTGAATTTCACATGATCCTGGTCTTAAGATGTCAGAAGACAATGGCATGGCTATATGAATATGGGGATTTTGTTGTAAATGTCATCCCAACACCAGCCTTGATATTCTGTGTTTATTCCAGGTCACCTATTCCAAAATCTGACTGTTTCTCATACTGTTAACAAGTATCTAAGTATATCAATTACTATTGGAATACCAAAGACTTAAGCTATGGAAGGGTAGAGAGATTCACAAAGTAGTGTCAACAGGGCAGAAGAATATGGGAGACAGATAAATAAAATTTCAGTTATAAAAGTAATAACTGATTAAGTAGGAAGGAAAGAAGGGAGAAGGAATATCATTTTATGTAAAAACAGAAGAGCAGTGAGACAGGGTGAGGAGATGGGCCAGATGGGAAGACAGGATGTATTTGGTATTGCTAATGCTCTAGAGTCAGTAGAGACTATAGGATATCTATGAGCTCACATCAAGAGTTGAAACTAAATTGGAAACTATTTGGAAGAATAGTTCAGTAGAAATCCTGAACATGTTTGAAGTGATAATTATTGGAAATAATCAAAATCTGATAATCAGTGAACTGTTTGAATTTGGATAGATTGCACTCATGTTTTGGAGGGGGTCCCAGCATTAGACATGAAAGTACAAGGGAATGGAGGGACTTCCAAAGCTATTTTTTTTAAGGCAGTAATCACTTGTAGAGATTTAGAAACCAGGTCAGTACTAGTGTATGTACAAGGATGTGTGTGTGTGTGTGTGCATTCACACATGTGCTCATTGAAAACAATATTCAGACTCTCATCCCCATTGCTTAAACAATTTTATTCATATTTGAATCTCTAGCCCAATGCAAGAATAAGTAAATTAAGTGAATGCCTGAATCAGTAAATGTTGTCTGAGGGAAAGGCTTATAAGTGATACCAGCATGATGCCTATCAAGGACAGACCAAACATCAGTTTGAGGGAAAAAAACTACACTAGCACAAAAGAAAAGAGAGAGGTGAGAATTCATCATGTCCATTGTTCATAAAAAGGACTGTAAGACTGCAAGATTAAATGCCAGTTTCCAGCGGGCTCCTGATGGTAGAGTATGTACAGTGTATATGGATGCCAAATAGACTTTAAAAAAAATTAAGTGAACTTTCCCTCTTCCCAATAAAAATCACTTTAAGTGAAATCTGGGTAATATGAGTCCCATATGCAGTTTTCAAAAAAGGGAATAAAAAGGCAGCTTCAGCTTTGTGTATGAAAAACAGGGGCAAGTCCTGGTTTTTTGGTAGCGAAATCAACTACTAGTCCCCTACCCTCTGTTATGTGGATATCTGGAACTACCTAATATACCGGAAGCAATCTGTAGCCACTCAAATGAAGTTGAGCATAATTTTTATGTTGCTGTGCTTTACAAACATCCATGCTCACATCCATGCTTTATACATGTTTTTCCAAATTGTACTTATTTTAAATGTTATATGAGTTTCAGGTGTACAATATAGTGATTTGACAGTTCTATACATTGACTCAGTACTCACCACAATAAATGTAGTCACCATCTGTCTCCATATATTATCACAATGTTACTGACTATATTCCCTGTACTATACCTTTCATTATCATGACTTATATCATGTTGTATGGAAAATGCCAAATAGCCAAGGAAGGAGGAGACAGAGTAGAGATAACAGAATAGGGTTTTGGATGGGGGAAGGCACAGATAGAACAGTAAAAACTGATAAGGTTCTCTGCTTGAGTGGAGTGCCACTGAAGAGGAAAATCTAGATATCTGTTCATTTCTTTTCAAAGACTCTACACCCTGACTTGCCTTGCCCCCCTTCACCTCAACTTGTCCAGTCCAGCCAAGGCAAGTGCAATATTCTCTTTGTACCTGGATTAGGGAGCAAAATGCCCTGGCTTATTTCTATCTGCCAGTGGGAAATGAGAAGATATCAGCAGTTAAGCAGAAATGTCCTTGTAAAAGTTGATAGCATACCGTGAAGACAGAATATGTAATAAAGGTAGAACAGAGCAGGGCACCTGGGAGGCTCAGTGGTTGAGCATCTGCCTTTGGCTCGGGTCATAATATGGGGCTTCTGGGATCGAGTCCTGTATCAGGCTCCCCTGCAGGGAGCCTCCTTCTCCCTCTGCCCATGTCTCTGCCTCTCTTTGTGTCACTCATGAACAAATAAATAAAATCTTTAAAAAAATAATAAAAAAAAAAAGAGTAGAACAGAGGGACAGAAAACGTAACCAGAATGGAAGAGGTTTCCTACATCAGAAACAGACCAACACCCAAAGGAAAACCAAGCCAAAGTCTTGAAAGGAAAAGTAATAAAACAAACATTGTCAAAAACTTTATGACTGTATACTTAGCCTCATCATAATTTGAAAAGCAAAGTAAATAGAATGACTTTATGTATTTACTCTTAACTCTGCAAACTTAAATATGTTGAAGGTACTCAGCATTTGAGCACAAAAATAGGCACTGATATATAGTTAGTAAGATTTAAAAAATAGTGCCATATATTTGGGGGCACTGCAGCAGTACTGAACAAAAAGTTTAATATTTAGTTCCTCTGATTGGATCTGCTTCCAGGAAGCTGTCCTCTAGAAGCACTTGTACAGATATGTAAATATATATGCAATGTTGTAGCATTGCTTTAAAGATGTAAAAAAAAAGTATGCAGCTAAAACTGAAATCTCTAGGAATCTTAAATTATGAAAAATACATAAATATAATTCCACTAAGTTACTGAAAATAAGGCAGTCTCTAAATATTTTCATAGGTAAATATCCTTAATATATTATTGAGTGGAAAATGAAAGCATTATGATCTCTCCTGTTCATAATCTATGTATGCTTGTATGTATATAAATACACACAATATATATATATGCATTTGAAAACATAAAGTAATAATGAAATTTCACAGAGATAGTAAAAACTGAAAGTAAGAGGGGCAGCTGGATCTCCCTTCGGCTCAGGTTGTGATCCCAGGATGCGGAGATTGGCCTGCTTCAGGCTCCCTGCTCAGTGGGGGGTGTGCTTCTCCCTTTCCCTCTGCCCCCCGCCATGCTCCTGCTCTCTCTCGCTCTCGTTCTCTCTCTCTCTCAAATAAATAAATTTTTTAAAAAAATTAAAAGTAAGACATTAAATTCTAATTGAGAGTTTACTGAATGTGAAAACTATCCTGAAATATTTATCATTACCACTGAGAATAATGACATTAAACTTTATTATTCCTATAAAACAGTTTAATATATAAATTCTATCAAATTCACATATTGGAATATGTAGCTACTCTAATTACACTACAAAAAATTTCAATTTTGATAAATTAAGAATCCAACAAGTTTTTTATTTCCTTTTTAGCATTTTGACATCTATATATTTAGGAATTGAAGAATATCCTAGGTATATTTAACTAATTTTGAAGGAACAGGGAGTGTAACAATTCAGCCATTCAGTTAAAAGAGGAAATACTTCAAAACCAAAAACTTACTGTTTCAAGACTGTTCTCTAACTTCCATATTTTTATTATGTAATATTCTGTAATTTTGCTTTTGAAAAACCTGGCTTCAAGGGTTTCTTAAACTTACATATTTTATAATTATGTGTGTAATAAAAATTGTGGGTGCTTATGTTTCACAGGACATGAGTAGATTAGAAGAGCGTCTGTACAATGCATCAGCAGAAATTATGTCTATGAAAGAAAAACAAGTGAATCTGGAACAGGAAATAAAAGAAGAAGTGAAACTACTGAGTAACATCACTAATGATCTCAGACTGAAAGATTGGGAACACTCTCAGACATTGAAAAATATCACTTTAATTCAAGGTAAAATATTTTCTCATTCCTCCAGAAAACAATATATTAAAATATACTGTTATGTGCAGAGTTGGCATTTGAAATCTTGTGGTGTAAAATAGTTCTTGAGCATACAAATGTGCAGAGAGAGGAATTTTGAATCTTATCAAGATATGGCAAGATAACAGTATCATGGTATTCTTTAATGGAAAGTTATTTTAAAAAATATCTTTAAGGTCTTATGAGTCCTTGTTTAAAATACTCAATATTAATGAACATGAATAGAAGTTTTCTGTATGACACCAAATTCTCTACCTATCCACAAATCAAGCTTGTTAATTCTTTTTTTCAAAACTTCCAGATTCTTTTTTATTTCTTACCTGACTGTATTATTAGTTAGAAAGGTCTTTGAACTCTATAGTATAACAAAATGATAATAAATTTGCCAAGTTTCTTCTTTAGTCCGTGTTGATACACCATGGTAATTTAATATACACATATATTTTTACTCTAACTTTTATTTCCATTTTATTATTTTTTTCCTTTTAAAGATTTTGTTTATTTATTCATGAGAGACACAGAGAGGGAGGCAGGCAGAGGCATAGGCAGAGGGAGAAGCAGGCTCCATGCAGGGAGCCTGATGTGGACTTGATCCTGGAACTGTGGGATCACGCCCTGAGCCGAAGGCATCCCTTTTATTTTCTCATATTTTACATTGTTTTAGGCTTGTCTTATATAAAGAACACATTTATTGATTGATTAAAAAAATTTTTAAGATTTTAATTCTAAGTAATCTCTATACCCAACATGGGGCTCAAACTCACAACCCTGAGATCAAGAGTTGCAGATCAAGAGCCAGCCAGGCACCCCAAGGACACTTTTTTTAAAATGTGCAATCTAGCCATTTATTTTCACCCTACTTATTTCTACCATCTTATTTTGTGCTGTTTTTGTCCAGTTTTATGTTCCGTTTGCTTTCCTTTCTTGTCCACTTTTGGATTGATTAAGATTTTTCTCATTGAATTTTTCCTTCTGCCAAAGGCACTAAAAAGATTTTAGAGACTTTCTAATCTATTTCTATTCTTGTTGATGATTGTCCTTGAACTTTATCTAACAGTCTAAAGTTGATCAATATCTTTACCTTGATCCCAAATATACAGAGAACTTAAACATTTGTCTAATGACTCCTTTCCCTGATCTTCTGTTTTTGAGTATGCTTTATTCTGTTTTATGTAGTTTTTAAAAAAAACAAGAGTCAGTATTATTTTTCTTACATTATATAGACCACATTAAAATTTGCACATAGATTCAATTTTCCTTTTTTCTAAATGCACCTCAGACATCACTTCTGGGATCATTTTCCTTCTTCCTAAAGTATATCTCTTGGAGGTTCATTTAGTGAAAGTCCAAAAGGTAAGACCTTTTGATTTCATTTTCTCTATTTTTGTCCTTGCTCTTTTTTTTTTCTTGCTCTTTAAAATTGTTCTACTACATACGTATTTCTTAGGTTGACAGCTATTCTGGTTATTTCTATCAGTATTTTGAAGATATTTCCCTGGCTTTTGGCTTTCCTTGCTGTTTTAAAAATGACTGCCAATCTGCTTGTCATTCTTCTTATCTTCATTACCTGCAATTTCACAAATTGTGTTTTTATATTGATAATTTATTCATTTTGCTTTGTTTTTACTTCTTATATTTGTAGATCTAAATCCTTCATAAATTCAGGAAAGTTGTCAGCTTCAGTCTCTCTGAATTCTGTTTCTTTACAACTGTCTCCATTCTTCTGTAATTCAAATTAAAGTAATCTTAGATCCTCTTATTCTAGCTTCCATGTCTGTTAAACTCTGATTTATAATTTTAATATTTTTATTGGATTAATAATAAATAGAAGTCCATGAGATTTTTTTTTATTATATAACACTAGGGGAACAATATTTTAAGTCTGCTATACAAGTATTAACAAGAAAAAAAATTAAAGCAAGTCCCAAAAATTATACATAGTGCAATTTTTGTTCCTAATTATCACAGTTTAGCAAAAGCAAGTAATGTGTTTTTTAGCTGCAGACATATGTAATTAGAATGGTGGCTTTTAAAGTGCAGAAAATTGGGTGAGAAATATAAAATTCAGGTTAATGTTTAACCCTAAAAAGGAAGAAGATGAATGGGATTGGGGAGCACATAAATAGAGACCTATTTCATGGTTTGTGACATTGCAGAGATATTCTCTTCATTATTGTTCTTTACATCTTACTTACATGGAATATGTTGCATGTATTTTTAAATTATTACATTAAAACAGATGATAAAGAAAAATTTGAATTAATCAGCATTCCCTCTAACAATTAGACAACTCCATTTTGGATTTCAAATAAATATCCACAATTTTATACATCCAAAACCAAACTCTTAATTCTTGAGCATCCTACCCCATTCACTCCCCCAATCTGTTGCTTACTCAGCCTTGTATATCAGCCAAATCATTATCCAACTAGTTACCCACTAGATCTCGGAAACTGCCTTTAATGTCTTTCCATCACTTCCTACATCCTATCCATCTATGAGTCCTGTTAATTCTTCTTGCACACAATATGTCAAATAAAGCCACTTCTCACTATTTCCTCTGCTACTACTCTGATTCAAGCAACTATACTTGTCTGATGCACTAGATCTACTTCTCATTTGTTCTCCTTGATTCGACTTTTAACTCATTCTACGTTATAAAGAGCAAAAGAGTGGTATTTTAAGAAGTTTGTAAATGTTTTAGCTCTCATGCTTAAGCCTATCCAGTATTTTTGCCTTTGACTTGGAATAAATCTAAATTCCTACCTAGTCTGGAACCCATCTACTAACCTGCTCTCATTTTCCCATTTCCCCTCTGGCATTCCCTCTGTCTAGCTTGGAAATCTGGAAAAATGAAAGTGAAACTTAAAAGTATAAATGACTAGGGAGGAAGTGTTAGTTTCATGTCTTACTGTCTATAATGTGCATTGCACTCTCACCGTCTCTCTTGAAATGTTCTCTTAGAAGTCCACTCTTTCTTGGATGCACTCAAAAACACCTTTTTAGAGGTCATTTTTTCCTCCACCATCCCTCTATGTCATCTTTTGCTTTAACTTCCTCACAATACTTAGCACTTCATGAAATTGTTCCATATCTACATTGGCTCATTTGTTTAGCATACATCTTCTCTAATAGCATGTGAGTTCCCTGAGGTGGGGTTTCTCCTTTCATCTCTCTCTCTGCCCAGCACCTGTTAGAGTGCCTGCTATATAGTGGGTGAGCAAATTATATATATATATATATATATATATATATATATATATATATATATATACATACATATATGTTGAATAAATAAGTGAAACTAGCACTTTCTTTTTATTGAGTCATGCTTTGTAATGACAGGGTCATTTTTCCAGATTTCCAACATAACAATTTTAATTGTTTTTATTCTTTCTTCCAAGACTACTGTTAGTTCTTAGGTTCTATATTCCCTATCCCCTTATTGCTTCTTTATATTCTTGTGTAAACTTTTCTTACCACTGCTCTACCAGACTATTATTGAAAAAAGTCTCCCAATCATTTCCTTCCTTGTTTTTTTTTTTCTTTCAGACTGTAATCCTATCTGCACTCTTGTGAAAATCCAGTCCTCCTACAGAGAAACCCTAGATTATAAGCCTTATCACTTCCTCATTCTACATTTCTCTGTGTGGCACTCGGAATCTTCTATAATGTATCTTTTAACCACTTTTAAATACCTAATTCCCTCCATTTTCTCTTTTTGATGCCAAATACTTCAAGTGATTTAACTGTGATTCTAACATATCCAGTACTTTTGACATCCTACCTCATGCCTTTGCCTTCACTTGAAATACCTTCTCTTCTACTTCTATCTAAAAATGCCGTATCTCTCATTTAATGTCCAACTAACGTGAATACTTCTCTAGTTCCATCGGAGTGATACTCTTTCTGACATTTATGTCTTGCTTATATTGTATACTAGGTATTCTTTAGTAAGAGAAATCTTCACATGATAGTCATATCTAGAAGTATCTCACATTGTCTTCTAGTGCAGTGTTACCTCTTCTTGAAAACAATACATCCCTTAGCATTAGGGGCTATTTTTTATATTCTCTACTACATCTAGGCATAAAACAAATTTTTAATAAATACTTGTGAAACTATAACCCAAGAAAAACAAATCGTACAAATTAATGAGTGCCTTATCATTTTTTGGTTGTAGGATTAGCCATCTTTGTGTCCCCTGTTTTGATATTAACAATTGCTAAGTAATCATGAAGATAAAGCAGACAACAATTCATTCCAGGAATAATGGAAAAACAGATGCCAGAAATGAAGTCAGTTAAATTTGGAATAGGATAGCCTAGAATGTCAGGAAAGAAGTGGTCTAGTTCTGGTTTTAACCAACTAGCATTAAGACCTTGGACAATTTACACTCTCTGATCCCTCTATATATATATGTTTGACTAAGAAATCTTTAAGTCTTTTTCCAGATTTAAAGGTATCTAAGGCAACAAGCATGAAAACTAAAAAAAAAAAAAAAAAAGAAAGAGAGAGAGAGAGAGAGAGAGAGAGAGGCAGGTTTAAGCAGCAATAGCCTAGAAGATTTGGTAGATTTTTATGATGACAAGGAAAGATTAAGAATGAAGTAGAAAATGTATGATATGATCATCATGAATAGGACACAGAGAAGCATAGCTCTGGAAATTTAGGCAGATATTATTAGTTCTTTGGTATCATCTGAGGATTTTAAATGATAGGATATGCCTAGGTTTGCTTTTCTAGTGAACTGTGTAATTTTTATCTCTGATATTTATGGTTACTGAGTATTCTAAATCAGTTCTTTTTTGTGGCTATGTAGAAATCTCAGTTTCCTACCAAGCTTTCTTTAAAAAAATCATAGAGAGGGATCTAAGTAGTGGATTTTGTATGTGTGTTTTATAGAGGGAATTGTCCATGGCAAATTATTGCTGCAGCATTTACGAATTATCCCTGTAACTTTGCAGTTAGAAGGTATTAAATTTGAAGAAAAATAGTGTGAATTCTTAAGGCTTGATAGTAATTCAGAACAAAGAAGGTGACTGAAAAGACACCAAGTCTCCTGACTTTAAGTTTTTCATTTTTTCTTCTATAACATAGCAGAATAGATAGCTATATTTCTATATATAGTTGATGGAGGTACTATTTTTTTAAAAGCTGGAACTGCAGGAAATATGAGGGTGAAATTGACACAATACATTCAAGCCAGATAAAAATCTCTAGCCTGGTCCAAGTACAGGATGATTAGGATGTGACCTACAACAGGCACGGAGAGGACACCACTTTTAGAAGGTAGCATGATAGCATCATGTTGACCGTGTTCTCAAAAGTTCTACACACAAAACTAAGAGAAAACTGGTTTATGATCTGTGTACTTCTATCCCCCCAAAATATGTAAAAGACACTAAAAATATTTATTGAGATACTTGCCAGATTTTGTTCTAGGCAGTAGAAGAGCTACAACAATGTATAAAAATGAAACATAATAAGTGAGATTAATGTTGCATGAAGAATAAAATAACAATAAAAATGTAACAGGGAACACACCTAGTTAGAGTTCTGTAAGGCATAGCTGGTTTTCTTACTCTGGGATTCAGAAACCTGGTATCAGCATTTTATATGAAAATACAGAGAGGGATCTTACTCAGAATTATATAAAATAATGAATGTATTTGTTATGATTGAAATTACTTCTCCAACATTAGAGCTATAGGCAGTTATTCTACAGAGTTACCTGCAAAATAATTGAAAGGGAAGTGTTTATGAAAGAGTTCCACTTCTCACTGGTGAATAAACGGTGAAAACTCCTAACCACAGAGGCTAAGAGCTGTGATCTAGTCTGTGAGTCTCTTGTTTCTTGTCTCGCACATTCTGCTTTTTTCTGGAATATCTGTGTCTTGCTTTAGAGCTCTAATTACTATATCAAAATCTTTCCTTGTGCACTTCTTTTTCTCTTTTCCCCAAGACACCACCCTTGAGAACTGTGGCTTTGCTTCCTTTCAATTTGCTCAGCAAAATACAGGCTGCAAATTGAATCTTTCTTACTTGCCCTTAACTTCGTTACTGTGTAGAGATGAATGAACTGCAGCAGGGTTCATGGTGGTGGCAGTGCAACCCCCTGCTGTGGGGAAGATCTGCATTTTTTGTGGAATGGGAGATTCATACAGATTCTCACTGATTTAGAAGAGTGACGTTTCTTATGCAACATCTAAATATATGTCTCTGATATTAAGCAGTAGCTTACAGGAATTTGCATGATTATGTAAAAAAAATATAAAGCCACACAAAACAAAACAAAAAGTGCAGTAACAAAAAGAATGTTAACGGTTAGTCTCTTATGATGATCAAATTCTGAGTTATATTTTTTCTAGGTTTTTGTATTTCCTGTAATAAGTAGAGTTGTTTTTATAATGAAAATACAATAAAACATTACTGCCCCATGTTGCATTTGAAGTGAAAGGGGCAATGTGCCATTGAGACGAACAGTGATGTCTTAAAAAACAAGTAACCAGGGAAGGAAGGTTCTAGAATCTAAATTGGACCTTGAAAAATGGAACAGATCAGAAAAAATGGAGAGAAGCAGGGATGGAACTTGAAAGGAAATAACATGAACAGAATATAGTTTTTCATGAGATAATCTTTATCTGCTCATGTTGCCCTCTCTTCACATTCTTCAGGTATTTTATTTCCCCACCTGATTAAAATTTGCAAGCAAGTGCTCTGCAACTAGTGGTACTAAATATACTTGTGTATCATCCTTGGGCCATTCAGTCGAACCATGGCGATTGAAAATAACCGTTTTAGAGCACCTGGGTGGCTCAGTGGTTGAGTATCTGCCTTCGGCTCAGGTCATGATCCAGGGGTCCTGGGATCGAGTCCTGCATCAGGCTCCCTGTAGGGAGCCTGCTTCTCCCTCTGCCTGTATCTCTGCCTCTCTCTGTATCTCTCATGAATAAATAAATAAAATCTTTAAAAAAGGAAAATACTTGTTTTAAAACATTGCTATTTATTATTCTGTGGTATATCCAACCTTGTGTTTTCCTCTTGGCATTGAAAAGAAAATTGCAAAGTGTTCTGCTTTAAGTGAAGGTATTAATACTTATCCTGTGCAGTCTGTGTAGAAAGGGAATACTAGCAGGGTTACCTTTGAGTTCCAAAGTGCCGTCTTTTCTAAAGAAGTGATCACTGGATATCCATTTTGCTGGGCACAGAAAATTCAAATGACTAAATCGATATTGATTAAATTCAGTACTCAGGGAATACTTGGGAAATTGTGAGGCCAGGTAGTCAGAATTTTCCCAACAACCTCTCCAACTGATTTTATAATATCTATATCTATTTAGGGATACTACTTAATACAACAAATTACTACAACTCTAGTTGAACAATGCAGAGGTTGGGGCGCTGACTCCTTGTGCCCTTGAAAAGGGGTATTTAACTTCTGATTCCTCCAGCACCTTATGACTAATAGCCTACTGTTGACCAGAAGCCTTAACATAAACAGTCAATTCACACATATTTTATATGCTATATGTCTGATATGCCATATTCTTGAACAAAGCCAGCAGAAAAGAAATGTCATTAAGAAAATCATAAGCAAAAGAAAATGCATTTGCAGTACTGTATTTGTCGAAAAGAAATCTGTGTATCAGAGGACCCACCATCCAAACCCATGTTGTTCAAGAGTCAACTATATTTTACTTGAAAAGCATTCTTTTACTCATTTCCACCTCCCTACCTTTCCCCAAGTCTCTCCCTCTTACTTAGAATTCTCTTTCATCTCATTCTATCCATTCTTCAAATTATCTTTCAAATCCTACTGTCTCAAAGGCTTTTTAACCATCCTGCTGATCTGGATCTCTGAGAAGTGTCTGAGTTTGTCATTTTTAACAGTATGGTTTTTGTGGTCTACTGTATGTGGATCACATATGATTTATACATACATGATTGCACATTTTCCACACAGCATCTAAGTAAATATTGTGAAATCTCCACTTAGTATGCACATAACACTAAGGTGAGCTTATGCCATCATTGACTCAGTGTCGTTTCTCTGCTCCTGGGTTCTAAGAACCTAAAAAAAGTGCTAGGCACACATAAATATGTAATACATAATTAGGTTGTCGATTCTAAGGCTATCTCACCCTTATCGGTTTAGGGCTCTGCACTCCTTTATAGAAGGGCACGCCTCCATTCAGGAAGGTAATTCTTAACTCTTTCTATGTTATTGCACAACAAATAGAAGACTGAATTTTTTTAAAGAACTGTCTTGAAACATGACATATTTATTTTACCTATGTTTTAAAACTGTAATCGGTAATTGTCATTTATTTTTTAAAGGTCCTCCCGGACCCCCAGGTGAAAAAGGAGATAGAGGACCCACTGGAGAAAGTGGTCCACGAGGCGTGCCTGGCGCAATAGGTATGGCAATAGTAACGACTTAATCATATCCTTCAGGGCCAGATAATATTCATCCATATATGTGTGTAGGGGGAAATTGCTATTCGATTCATCTCCTGTGGAGTGTATGTGTGTGTCTGTATTGTGTGTGTTAAAGGGGATATTAAGTGTTTTCCAGCAGCCTCATCACTATAATGTATGAAATGTAACTGACTTTTGCTTTTCGAAGAAAGTTAAATGCTTTAGCCAAAACCACAGGGGTTTTTTCATATGTCTGGGGAGTGCTAATTCTATCTATGTTATCAATCGCACACAGTATATGGCAGACCTAGCTTTAGGTCACATGAGAATGAGAATGTGAAAATCATCTTCACAGTGACTATATTTGCCTATCATACACACACGCACACACACACACACACACACACACACACGTCAAAGGAAATTGGATTAAATTCCTTATATACTCCTTAACTGGAATATATCTGCTTAAAACCAAGAAATTTAAATCTAAATATTGACTAGAATACAGATGACTTTTACCTTTACTGTCAGCTACTCTCTGTATCTTACTTAGAGCAAAATTGTTTTAAATTATTTTCCTCAGTTGATGTTGTAATCTTGAAAGCAATATTTTGAGAGAAGATAATAGAAGACAGAAAAGGAGAAAGAGCGTGAACTTTCCTTGCTCTCACAAAAATAGAGGAGACAGTAGCAACAGCATGATTGTCATGTTATTCTTGGCTACAAATCAAATACCCACATACCCTTTGAAAGTGTGGAGTATACTGCATGGCTTAATTATAACTAGAATGGTTTGTACTGCCAAAAACATGTCTAAATACCATGTACTTCATCCTATTATTCTGTCTTTTGGTTATATAAAATGTTCTTCCTTCTAATCAATATATTGACTAGCCCAGGTTCCATCAGAAAAATAGTGTTTAAAAATGAAAGGTGAATTTGACATGTCTCTGACCTTGACAACATTATGCTTAAAAAGCCAATGCATAGTTCATATTAAATTTTTTTAAATATTTTATTTATTTATTCATGAAAGACACAGAAAGAGAGAGAGAGAGACACAGGCAGAGGGAGAAGCGGACTCCATGCAGGGAGCCTGACTTGGGACTCGATCCCGGGGCCTCCAGGATCACACCCTGGGCTGCAGGTGGCACCAAACCACTGCCCACTGGGGCTGCCCATATTAAAATGCTTTTAAGTTTACTTGACATATATCTATATATCTATTTATATTATATATATAAGATATATATAACTTTACATATCATATTTTATAAAATTTATATATAATTTTATAACGTGTGTGTGTGTGTGTATTAGTATATCAGGTGGGTTGTTGCTATGCCTTTGAAAATACTGCTGAGTAAGATTCTTTATTCAGAAAAGTCTTTCTACTTGTCTAGCACTCAGGAGATTTTCACAATGGAGCATTCATGTCATAGCAGGGGAAGTAACCAGTGTTCTATCAGCTGTCAGAGGTCTTTTAGTGCCTCCATTACAAACCACAATTGTCAAAGCTTTCTAACTCAACCATGTAAGTTCAGTCCAGGCTACAACTTGCTGTACAAACCTTCATCTTGGGAGCATCTTTTGCAGCTGTTTCTGAATTACGGATGTGTGAAATAGAAAGAGGAATTTAAAATTTTCAGCTTTTGTTAACACCCTAAACAGATACCGTTGCAAAGCTGCTTTGATTCTTTGAGTGAGAGTTTAGTCTGTTGCTGTTGGTGATACTCATTTACAGAAATAGGCATTATGCAGTTTCTCATATAAGAGAGTGAGATTTCATTATTGGGGAATAAATTGACTCCTTTAGATTATTAAATTGCCATTAGGTTTGGGGCACTGCAACAGAAGTATTCAGGTTACCAGGCATCTCTCCTCATAGATTCTTCCCTATTTAATAACTGCATTCTGTTTTCTTCTCTGCCAGATTGCCTAAATAAGTACTGGAATCAGGGAGTAAAGAATATTTGATGGGCAGTCATGATATTTCTACTTCCTGATTACAGTGAGTTCATTCAAACCCCACCTGTACATCCAGTTAAACTCATTAAACACAGCTTGACCAACTCAAAGTCCCCTAGATTGACAACCATGATATAAACATGAGAAGCTTAAAAGATTACTCTAGTGGTCCTCCTAAATGATGAACACATTAAATATACTACAATAGTTACTCAGGTACTGAGCTAGACATTACGTTAAAACTTGCTTTATCTCAAAATAATAACAGAAATTTATTTCAGAGTGGCAGTTCCTTGGAAGCAGGCCAGGAGAATGACCTACTGACTTTTCCTCAATAACACATTTATTAAGCACCTTTCTTGTGCCTGCTGCTCTACAAGGTCTTGTGGATCCCAAACTCAGTCAGAAGTAGAGAATTTCTGCCTTCTCAACACTCTCAGTATGATAAGTAATTCTGTAGGTGATGAATGTTATGGTCGAGGACTCCTGATCTCATCTGTGATCCTTTGGGGGCCACTTTCTGGGTTATTTCCTCAGGAGAGCATGCTTTAAAGAAAAGATGTTTTGTTCGATCCCAAGGTTTCCTTTTTGTAGACCATCTATCTGCTGGGCTGTTTCTATCTACTAGGATCAATAACAGGGTAGCCTGACCTGGAGGCATGGGAAGATGCCTCAAAAGGGAACCAAAGGCTCCATTAGCTGTACAGTTTTAATCATCATCCAGTGCCATTTACTTTTCTTACATGGCTTGAATTTTCCACCATAGGATTCATGCTTCTGAAGAAGAAAATAAAGTCCATCCTAACTGTGGTTACTGAAGGACAAGAACTATATTTCATTAATCTGTATATCTACTCATGTCTTTATCCCATCTCCACCCCTTCTCCCAGTCTGTGGCCCAGAAAGACCTCTCCTCTAGCCTTCAACAAGGATCGTGCTCCCTAAATATACATGAGTAAGGAATATTGCTGGCTGCAGACTCTTGCTCTGAGAGTTGAAAGCAGGTTTCTTCAGGAGGTACACATTGTGCCAAGGGATCCAAAAATGTCTGCAACCTATATACATATCATTAAATAAAATTATATTTATCAGCCTTGACAAAAAGCTGGTAAAAACAATGATTGTATCATGTAGGAGAAGGAGAATAATTAAAGGAGGAGAAAAAAAAAGAAGAGGAGCAAATCACTTATCATGAGGCAGGCACTTTTCCAAGTGTTTTATGCTTATTAACTCTCTTAACTGTCACATCCAACTTACGATGTAGGGATGAACAATTCACTATTTTAGAGAAGCACAGGGAAGCTAAATGACTTGCCCGAGATCAATCAGCAGCTGGTCAGTGACAGAACAAGTATTTGAACCCAAGTGGCATGATTGCAGAGTCCATGCTCTTCACCAATCTCCCAGACCACAGAAAGAAGCCTGATTAGAGAGCTGGAAACCCTGGATTTGAGAATAATTATCAGACCAACTTTACATACATAGTAGAATCTCTCTGTCTTCTGTTCCTGCCTCTACAAAATGACAGATGATGTGTCAGGTTCCTTGAAACACCAGCATTCCAGGACTGGGCTTCTGAATACTTAGGTTGCCTCTGGGTTGGCAGCAGGTGCCAGACTCCTTCCCCTTGCCACAGATTATTGTAGAAAATTAGCTAATTGTCACTGGAAAGTTTCCTAGAATCTGATCTCTAGGAATAAAGTTCAGTCGTGGTACTTATGTTTAGGGGTCATATTTTCAAACATCATTGAACAGGTCACACAACTCTATAGGCCATACAGAGTCTGCCTAAACATCTCCCATAATAGAGGTCTAGTGATCAAGTGATTGCTATCAAAGTATCACATGTACTTCATTTATAGATTCATTTGTTTGCCCATTGGCAATGTGACATAATTCCTAACTGAACAGCTGTATCCTGAGTATCACTGTAATGTACTCAGTAAGCCAACTTTGGAGAGGATCCTCCTGATTCCCCCCTCTCTAAAGCAAGGCATCTTCTATTGCATTTCTCCCTTTTTTCTAAAATTATAATCTCCAAAATTACCTTCTTTCTTTATTTGTTAACTTTCTTGCAGTGTGTCTCCACACTGGAAGATCTGTTTAGATAAGAATGTTTGTAACTCCAGAATGGACAGGGACTGGCACATGTGTGCTCAGTGTGTTTTTGTTGATTTAGTGGAGAAATGGTAAAAATTGGAGTCACCAATGAGAAGCATTCTATACAGAGTAGGGAATGTTCTAAGATTAAAAAAATAATAATAATAATAAGAGAATTTAGAGTCAATGTTTTTATATGTAAATTTGAGTGAAGATCTTAATGAGTACAGATATCTGCCTATTTTGCTTGGATAATGAAGAAAGATATAAGTGTTAATCAATCAGCCTGTCTTCAGAAGTGATATTAGCTCTCTCTTAGACTGTATGCTATGAAGTTTAGCTAATAGATATTACAAAGTAGAGTGTGTGAGTATGTGTGTGTGTGTGTGTATTCAATATATGAATCTATTTATGGATGATATATGGATATATTGTAATACACATGTATATATATACATGTACATTTATATTTTAATACATATATATGATATATCAATATATATGTGCAAAGTAATATATATTATAGTATATGTGCTGCCGAAGCGAGCACCAAAGTAATATATATTGAGTAATTCAATTGAGATGGGTAGCTACTAATATTTCTAAACATAATTTATCATTTTATTGCTTTGGATCTCTGCTTAATATCTGTTGGAATCAAAGTTTAGACTGGGCTGAATAATATTTCTTAACTATTTAGAATATACTTAAATTTAACATTTTTTAGAGAACAATTAGCCCAATTTTAGGTGTCTATATGAATACACCTCAAGAAAAGTTTTTTCGCTTTTTACTCAATATGTAGAAGTCCCACCTCCTGGAACTTGTAAACTAATGACAACATATTAAAGATTGATATTGGAAGAAGATGTATAATTTTTAAATTTTTCTTAATGTACTTCCCAAGGAATTAACTGAAAATTGAATTAATGGGATCTCTGTGAACTGATAATAACATCTAAAATGAGATTTTTACAATAGTTTATTCCAAACTGCTCGTTTCCAGGATGAAATATTTTATTCCACAGGAAAATAACACTTTTATATGCAGTTTTCATGATCAACATAGTAATGAAGGGAGGGGAGAATGAGCTTTCATTTAAGCACATAGAACCTGGGTTTGTATTTATATAATATGTACCCATAAATGAATCCTTATATACTATACACATGCACACATGTATATATATGGTTTTATTATTGTTTGGGATCATCATAGAATTCATAAAATCAAGTGCATGAGAAAAAGATTAATATATTCCAGAATTAGGACCCGAGTTTTTAAATATATATATATATATATAATAAAATATATAAATAATATAAAATTTTTTTCTCATTGCTTGAATTGTGCTTTTTTGGGAACAAATCTGAAGAATTCAGTTTCTACCTTGTATATTTCAAAGTTAACCTTTTCAGCTATAGCAAAATTCTGCCATTTGACGATTCCCAACTGGATTGCATAAACCTTCTAGTTAAAACTCCAAGATTTTTTTCTTATATGTTTTTATTTACAATAGCAGTATGTTTATTTATTGAATATTTACATTGTACTAAATGCACTAAATGTTTCTGCCAATTACTTGTATTATTTATTAATGGCACACATGAACTTTTGGGAATATTATCCCTTCATTTGGAGGTTTGCCTATTGAGTATTCAAAACTAAATTGTTTCATTATACTCACAAATCTATATGAAAAATGAATTATTATTGCTGTGTTTTTCTTCATTAATCACATAGGTCCTCCAGGTCTTAAAGGTGATCGGGGAGCAATTGGCTTTCCTGGAGCTCGAGGATTCCCAGGGCCAGTGGGGAAGACTGGGAGGACAGGTATTGTAATAGTGTATATTTTATTTGTAGAATTTGTAAAATAAACACCAGAGCATAGTTTTCTTCCCCAAATTCTTGTATACCAAAAGCAATAGCCATCCTACTATGACCAGTAGACTTACATGCAGTTTATTTTGTGATCTAAAGCATTTTGCAACTAATTTCTCTGTACCTGAGGAAAGTTTCTATGTCCCAAAGGAAAATAGTCTTTAAAAGAAAAAAGAACAACAGAGGATTTATAAACTCTACCCAACCATAAATCACATGAAGAATGGTGTCTATCTTAAACCGAAGAGAATGGGAAGACTGGCAAAGAAAAACAAAATAGTTTAAATACCCTGGTAACCAAAGCTGGCCAAACCCTGGAAAGTTACAGTTAATAATACACAGATAGGTCAGAAATCCTATTTTGTGCAAGATAAACTGACTGCTGTTGGTTCTTAATAAACTAAATTGTTCAGGCTCTTTAAAATTTATATATGCGACATTTTTATTCACCTTATGGCAGTAGCCAGAGCTTCGATTGTGAAGTTTACACAGAAATTTTAAAAGAAGGCAGTCTTATTGTTTCCTAATTTCAAAGTAAATGATGACTAGGAGAATAGGATCTTTATCATTGGGGTGCTTTTTTAAAATAGATTTTTTTAAGGGAAGTTTTAGGTTTATAGAAAAAATGCATACAAAAAAATAGAGTTCCCATAAACCCACATCCAGTTTCTGTGTTGTTAACATGTTAACATTAACATGGTGTATTTGTAACAATTGATGAACCAGTATGGATGCATTATTAGTAATTTAAGTCCACTGCTTATATTAGAGTTCATATTGAGTGTTATACATTTTGTGGGTTCTGACAATTATACAAGGACATGTATCTACTGGTAGAGCAACACGTGGGGTAGTTTCACTTTCCTAAAGATCCCCGGTGGCCTACCTACTCATCACCACCACACTCCCTCCCTACTGATGGCTGTAGTTTTGCCTTTTCCAGATAGAATATCATACAGTTGAAATCATACCATGTGTAGTCACTTCAGATTGGCTTATTCCTTTTAGCAATATGCATTTAAGCTTCTCCATATCTTTTTTGTGGCCTGATAGCTCATTTAATTTTAATGCTTGGTATAGTCTAATGTATGGATGTACCACAGTGTGTTTATCCACTCACCTATTTGAAAGACATTTTGGTACTTCCATGTTTTGGCAGTCATGAATAAAGCTACTGATGTAAGTTTACTTAGAAGTTTGATTTCCGGGCCTCATGGTAAACCTGTGTTTAATTTTGTAAGAAACCACCAGACTGTCTTCCAAAGTGTCTGTACCGTTTTTGCGTTCCCATCAGCAGTGAATGAGAGTTCCCGTCATTCCACATACTCACTGGCCTTTGGTGTTACTAATGTTTTGGTTTTTAGCAATTTTAATAGCTGTGTTGAGGTATTTTTGATAGTATCAGTGTTCACGGACTGTGTCGTTGGCGATTAGGCTTGGAGAAAAATCAGTTGCCACAAATAAGCAAGCTACATTCAGACTCAATTACCTGAACTGAATGGTATATTTATATACCATCTCTAAAACCATCTCTAAAACTGTCTAGCTTTAATCAGGACTTTTTGGCAAAATGGGAAGTAGTGTTCATTTGTTAATTTGTTTGAAATTATCTACATCCTTCAGGAATTGCTGAATTTTCTAAATGGGCAATTTGTGTGTGATAGATGAATATATTTAAAAACCCTGAATTTGACAAAATTGCAAAGCTACTTATAGTTTCCAAGATAATTCGAAATAATTCCATGAAGTGAGAAAACATATTTTATCTGTATTCTAAGTTTAAAGCTAAAATGGTGTATTAATCTACTATCTCTCTCAACTAGGTAATCATTTATTATCTCTGGCAAATCATGGTAAAATTTTGTTCAGGACTCTTTCTGTTGTAACTTTCTACTTACATTCAATCATAAGGGGTAACTTCATAAATGAATATCACCATGCACTCTGAGTAAATTAGAATCACTACTCTGTCTTTCTGAAAAGTCTACATAAGAAGGGGAAACACAGCAAAAGTTTTAAGAATGCTAAGAAGACCTTATTCTTTCTCACAACCATCCTTCTGTCTGTTATGTATAACCCTCCTACATGGACAGTGATGACATTAAGAATAAACCACAAAAGAGACATGTAACTAGCACTACTTAGCTGATTTAATAAGAAGTAACTTACTTTTTTTTTTTTTTTTATTGAGCACCATGTTTTCTCATCCACTGTACTTGGAGCTGGGAATACAAGATGAGCCAGCTCCCCACTCTCGAGTTTTCTCCCAGAAATTTCTCCATGCTTGTTATTTACTTACCCTCTTGGGAAGTACAAGGATAGCAGAATATAGTTGGTACTTTACAGAAATAGCATAGTAGATCCTACCTTCCTATCTTTTATCCTCTCTATGCCTCAGTTTCCTTATCTAAAAATAGGACTATTAAGAGGACCTGTATTTTAGAATTTCTGCAAAATTCAAAAAATTAATAGATGTCTTAAAGCACTTCAAATAGTTCCTGTCACAAAACAAGCTCTATATACATGTTAGTTAGTAGCTACTGCCTACACAAGCTTTAGGATTTTTTCTACTATCAAACTCTTACAGTTCAACACCTGCCCTCCAGTCACAGTATCTGAGAGAACATTCATTGATTCATTCACCAAGCCAACACAATTTCATGAGGGTTCACTGTGTGCCCTACATAAATATAGCACAGTCCTTATGAGCAGGGACAGGAAAATGCAAAAGCAATTAGCTGTAATGCAATGTGGTGAGTAATAAACATTCATGAGTTAGGACAAAATACTATGGAGCAGAAAGTAGAAATTGATTAATTCTGTACAACAAGACAGTGTGTTACAGAAGAAATAGTGTCAGTGCTGACCTAAAAGATACATAATAGGTGGTATGCCTGCAACTACTATAATATTGTATGTCAACTATACTTCAATTAAAAAAAATACATACAATTTATTTAGGTCTGAGGTTCTCAAACTTGACCCACCATCAGAATCACTTGTAGGACCTGTTAAAACAGTGAACTGTGCTCTACCCCCAGAGTTTCTGATTCAGTAGTTTGGGGGCTGGGCTCCCTTGAAAATTTTTAGTCCTCTCGAGTTTTTAGGTGATAGTGATGATGCTGTTCCATGAACCACACTTTGAGAACCATATCTCTGGTAAAGAAAAGGAGTGGAGAAAGAGAACTCTAAAAAAAAAAAAAAAAAAAAAAAAGCCAGGGCAGAGGTAAGAATTCCTTTGACAAAATATATCCTTAGGATATCACTGCCTTAGTTAAAAACTCAAATTTGGTAGAAATGTGAGCCATCAGTGCCTGGTACTACTTTAGTTATATGGTACATTAAAACAAAGAATAATAGAGTTTCTCCTCCAAAAGAGTCCAACAATGGTAGTAGAATTAGAAATAAAATCCAATTATTGTCATATCCTATACCTGTCCATCTGAATAATATTCAATGCATTGACAGAATCCAAAGCAAATAGTTTAAGAAAGAGCACCCTATTTTCTCTTCTGCTCTGCTTTTCTTCCCCACCTTGCAAGCTTCCTTCCACATTTAATAAGTACTTATAATGTATACAAGGTGCATTGCTAGGTACTAGGAAATGAAAGATAAATACGACTCACTCATTAACTGTCCTTAAGAGAAGGGGAAGACTTGGCACATCACAGATCTATAGGGGAGAGCAGTTATAACCTGACATATTTACTTCAAAGAGCTTTGAGGATTTAACTGAAATGTAACATTACATATCTTCAAAATCCCTAGTGGACTCTAGATATAACCTCACTGAGTGACTTAGATTTTCTAGCACATAAGTAATGCGCTTTCCTCCAGTTAAACTCATGGAACCCTTTCAAAGTCTGATTGTAAAGGTGAGTTATGGTCTTTCTAGGAGTTTCCAAAACCACAGACCATAAATGATTCATTTATTGACAAATAATTACTGAACATTTTCTCTGTGTCATTCATGGACATATTCATAGATCAGTGAATATATGGGCTTGGAGTTCAGACGAGAGGCCAGAGTTAGAAAGACAAAGTTGTAGCTATGATTACATAAATGTTTATTGGAATCATTGATTTTAATACTATTTTATGAGTAGACAGTGAGAAGAGAAGGGGCCTAGGATGAAGCCTTAGGTAATAAAGGTACAGGCTGAGCAGGAAGAGAAAGCAGTAGATTAAACAGAAGCAGCGAGAGTGAGGAAGAAAATCTGGGGAATGAGTCATGAAAAAGTCAAGGTGAGAGAGAGTTTTAAAAAGTGGTCAAGTAAGATGAACTCTACAGAACATTCTTTGCATTGTTACTATAGGGATGTTGCCTTTATTGAGTAAGTTCAGTGGGATGAGACTGGGGGATGCTCAGAGGTGAACTAGTGTTGAGGATTAAACAGGGAGATAGAGCTAATTCTTGAGCAATCTGACTCAAAGAAGAAAGAAGTCAGTTTCTTGTTTGTTGTGTTTTCTCATTTGTTTTCTGAAAGAGATTTGAATACTATTTAAGTGCTGATGACAAGATAAGGTAAAGGAGTGCAGAGGAAAGAGGGAAGGTTAGTGAGAAGGTTGAAAGTGAAGACTTCAGAAAATAGGAAGCAATAGTAGAGTTAGGATAGATGATGGTCACACCTGAAATGGAAATAGCTGAACAGGTGGGCTAGTTATGACACATCTGTAAAAATAACTAACCTAACGTCTACCTCATAGAAGGGGCACTAAAAATGCTGGAAATCAAATGATGTTATTGAAAACACCTCCCCTTGTATTTAAAGCTAGAATGTCTATTTATTACATATTATTTACTTCTTATTTTTCAGTGGCTTTCAGGAATTTATTTTTGATTGAAGAGTATCATATATGAAAGGAGATTAACTCCAGGTTTTGACAAAGAGCTAATCAAAGTTTTAACATGGGCTCCATGTTAACCAAAGGTTTCACTTTCTAAAGGAGAGATACACATCTGTTCTCTAGCAAGGTTGTTTTTGGTGTGTTCACCTGTGAGAAAAAATTTCTGAGTGTCCTCTGTGAGGAGATCTCTGAATCATGGTAGAGTGACATAAAACATTTATATTTATTTATAAGATGAAAAGTTTCATTTTATTATTTTTTTTAAAAAAGAGTAGTATAGGATAAAAAGCCAAAATTTTTTTAAAAAACTGATTTTTTATTTATCATAGGATCCTAGAGCTATCAGGATTTAAGTCAGTCATTCACTCAGTGCCCTGGCTTGAGCAAGCATTTCTATTCCTAAACTACCCAAAACCAATTGTGATATAAAAAGACTCCCAAGAACAATGTACAGCCTCTTCCTTTTTACTAAATAATGCTAAAATGATCAAATTAAGCTTGTTGTTTATTATATTATCTTCTCTGAAAATAATTGGAACTGATCATTACACCCTTTTGAATCCACCCTCCCAATTTTTGTTTAATATTTTTAGGCTTTTCCTCTTGGGGAATCCAAAACTTAGATACTATATCTCAAAAAAATAGGAAAGATTTTGTATATTTTTTATAAATTAATGATTTTTTTGCCAATTTCACATTACCTGAAATGACTGTACCACAATTAAAAAGTGACTATAATGATGTACAGTGTAATCATATATGCAAAGCGATTAGAGGCATTCTCTTCATCATACTCTGATAAGGAATGGCTGGCATTTCAGGAAATCTTCACACTAAAATTTTAATTGGAAACAATTTATGCTTTTTAAAAGTGCTCAATTTCAATTCTCATGTTACTTTCAGTATAGTTTTATATTTTTAAATCTGGTGAATTGGGGATCAAAAAATCTTTAAATGGTGAATAAGAACAAATGTTCAAAAACAAAGACAGATGAAGACAAAGTAAGCTAAATTAGGGAAAGAACAAAAAATAAAATGTAAATAAAGATTAAAACTTTAAAGTAAAATTTAAAATAATTGTGCCATAAAAAGTCAACAGAGATGAAAAACCCTCTCTCATGCACTGAGACTGAAACCAGAGTGAGACAGACCATTCTAGCTAAGCTTTGGGAATCATAAAACAATAAGAGTATATTCACCTCTTTATGGGCAAGATGCTTTATAAACATTGATGCTAATTTTCAAGGTAGTTCAGTGAAGGTGTTATTTTTTCATTTGTTAAAAAAAATACACTTTTAGTTCAGAAAGGTTTGAAAACTTGTTTTGAGCCACATACCTGGTAAGTAGCAGAGCAAAATAATTCAAATAATTTTTAAAATGCTCTTTTTATTCTATTACAAAGCCATGGGTTTTAAACTATGTCCTTGGATGCAAAGACTGAGGGTCTTGATTTTGTTGGGGGAAATCAAAAACTTTAGCAAAGATTCTGACTTAGTACTAGGATCAGCCCTGCATTTGTGTCAAGAAGGTGATTGTTTACAGATAAATACTTGAGAAACATTGGAAGAAGAATCAATAAGCAAGAATAGCCCTACTCACAGGAGATGCAATTGTTACCATTAAAATCTCTTGTTGGAAAAAAAAGTAAAATCTCCTTTTAGTACTAAAAGATAATCTTCTGGATATACCTTTGAAAGTGGAGTTGTGGGTGAATAGTCACCATTAGCAAAGACCCAGGACTTAACAATGTTTTTGACACCTATTTGAAGTCCTGACCCTCATATAAAAGGATAGCCTTTGTACCACACCCTTATGTAAATAGATGAGGTTTCTCAAAGCCAAAGAACGTAGCCTATAGGCTTAGATGCCCTTCACACCCTCCTAGCTTCCCCCCAGGATGAAGTCAGCAGGATTTTAGCCGTTCTCAGAAATTCATTCACAGCCCATCTTTGGGATTCTTTCCTCTAAAGAAATGGAAAACCAAGGATGCCTGGGTGGCTCATTGGTTGAATATCTGCCTTTAGCTTGTGCTGTGATCCCAGAGTCCTGGGATCCAGTTCAGCATCAGGCTCCCCATGAAGAGCCTGCTTCTCCCTCTGCCTGTGTGTCTGCCTCTCTCACTGTGTCTCTCATGAAAAAAAATAAATAAAAATCTTTTTTTTTTTTTAAAAAAAGGTAAACTAGATAATGTGTAATGGGAAATACAGAATCAGGGTTTAAGATGAGATGAAGGACTCAAAGCTTCCTGGAAGAGGGAGAAAATCGAACTTAAAAGAAGAGGGCAAACAAGATGGCTAAGCACAGAAAGTGCTGTACTTCGGTTTTGCCTGCTTTAGGAAAATGGGACACAATGGAAAAGTGTCCTTTTAAATAATTTGCTAATGTATGTAAGGGACCTACCCAGAATAATGACAGGCTTCTTTTTTAAAAAAATTTTTTTATTTATTCATGAGAGACACAGAGAGAGGCGGAGACACAGGCAGAGGGAGAAGAGAAGCAGGCTCCATGCAGGGAGCTCGACGTGGGACTCGATCCCGGGTCTCCAGGATCACACCCTGGGCTGAGGGAGTCGCTAAACCGCTGAGCCACCAGGGCTGCCCCTAAATAAAATAAGTTTAAAAAAATTTTTAAATGTGAAAATAAAATGAGAGCCATTATTATCAGCATCAACATCACTGCATTTGAATATCTGTCAGTTGTGCTAAACTGATTTTCCAGATTACCTTGTGATGCTCTTATTATTTAAAGCAATTAATCTCTGTGTCCACTTACAGGAATTAATTTTTTTAATGATTAAATGGCCCTAAATAACAACAACAAAAAAATGTTGCTTTTTTTGTTTATTTCCAAGGAAATCCTGGACCAAAAGGCCAGAAGGGGGACAAAGGGAGTGGAAGCATGCTAAGTAAGTTGACGGTTCATTGTTTTTCTGTGTGCCTTGTCATAAACAAGCCTTTGATCATAGTGGTCTAGGCTCCATGCAAATGTTGGGAATTTAGGCATTGATCCACAGAGTTTCTGTGGATGTCCGCCACAGTTTTCTCCAAATAAAGCATGCTAATTGGAGTAAAACAAATAGATTAAATTATACAACTCTGAGTCTCATTACCCATTTGTATTTTGTTTTCATGATGAGCACAGTTTTCTAAAAATTCCACAAAGGAAATTGTTCCGTTTTCAAGCCACTTTCAATCTGCTGAAGGAAAATCGAGTTTATGAATAGAAACAATTACAGCCTCCTTACCTACTATCTGAGCTAACTGAACAGCTCCACCTAGGAATTTAGATAACCTGAGAACCTTGGCATACCAGGTTTCTGATGGCTGGGGTTTTTGTGTTTTGTTTTGTTTTGCTAAAAACTTGAAAGGTTGTGTTCTCTATCCTAGACCTTCAAAATTGCAACAGAATAGATTTCACACAGGGATCTCTGTTGATGGAATGCTGACCTCCTATATATTGGCCCCTAAAAACAAAATATTAGATGAGATTTCTGCAATATACAACGCTCTAAACCAGCTGTGTGTCTAGGCTGAGTCTACACAGATCAAGTAAAAGGATTATGAAAAGGAACTGAGGAATCCCCCCACTGTGTTCCCAGTAGGAGCTGCATGGGAGGTGGAGGTGTGTCTGTGGGAATAACCACCGCTACACACACACAGTGCTCATAATCTCTACCCACCACGGTCTGGTTTACACAGATTATGGCTAATCCTTTAATGTACCAAAAATCTAGCATTTTTCAGTTGTAGTTATTATTTAAAAAATATAGTACCAATTTCTCTGCCTTATAGCAAAAGTAATTATTTTAGCCTGTGCTCTGTATGGATACCACCCTTAGACAATTTAGGATCACCACCTTGAGTGCCAGCCATTAAAGTATAATATAACTACATGACGTTTTTCACAATCACAATCGTTGCATTGTTGATGGTGCTTACCCCTCAACTGAACAACATTGAGTATATTGTGTGTCTCCTCACAGTACTTTAGCGTGATTCCGTGATTATCAGTGTTGTTACTACTATAGTAAGAGAATGGAAACATTAGTATGCCTTTTCTCCTTTCTGTCCATTTCTCCTTTAAAGTGATCACTTTTATCTGCTGTAATACTTTTTATCCCACCTAGTCTCCTTTCTCCTTGTCACTCCAATTATTTTCACTTGCTCCTTATGTAACTCTTCCCTATCTTCCTGTTAATCTCTATCTTTATCTTTGGTGTGGTTTTATCTATTTTTTTCCTTTTCTTGAGACTTCCTCTGAGCTACTTAACCTTGACTCTGGGGGAACTTGGCAAGTAAAGAATGTCTCTGTTTTGCAGTGTGTAAACTGAACACCCACCTGGTCTTCTGCTACCTGAGGTTATCAAATGTGTTGAACATTTTTTCTGATATGTTCAGAAATGTTTTCAGTTATATTTTCATGGCTGTTTTGAACTTTATGCTCACACTTTCTTTGTGAAAGCGATAATAGAGATATTTCTGTGTACACGTGTTTATGGCTTCCAGATTTCCCTCCATGCACCCCCTCATAGAGAGTATATAAAACTCCATAATGTTTCAAAAAGAGAGAAAGAATCATACACACAAACATCTATATAGTATGTTCTGCTTTTTCCTTATTTAAGTTAATACATCAGTCACCTGCCCATGTTGGTACATGTGACTCTAGCTCTTTTCTCTTAATGACTATGCATTATTGCATTATATAACTATAATATAGTTATCATAATACATCATTCTATTCCTTAGTCATGAACATTTGATGATTTTTATTTGCCATGATTTGGCTTTAATAAGAAATGCTACATTCGGCAGTCGCATACATGATCTTGTGGAACTATTTTTATAATAGAGAATTTACTAAGAGTAGAATCAGTAGTTCAAAGGTGACATGGATTTTACAGTTTGATGGTTTCTTTTGAATGGCTCCAAAAGGTTGGACCAATTTATTTTGCATGAAAGTGCCTGATTCCCCATATCTTCAATTAATTCTGATAAATAACAATTTATATTGTTATTTTAATATACATTTTTAATATTTTTCAGGCATGATTTAAATATAAAAGGAATAATCACTAATTTCCTCTTTTATATATGTGTTAGGACCGATACAACACCCTGATCGTATTTGGGCAGGGCCCTTTTAAGATCAGGTGGGTTGGGCAAGACACCCTCTGCTACCATCTCATTAAAAGGCCCTTCACTTCTGGACAAGTCATCAGCACAACCGACTCCAAGATCCCTTGGTGGCTTCTCCAAATGACTTTGGTTCCTGTGTGGTATGCAGCTTTCACATGGCTTTTTCTTCTGGCCTATTGTGCTATTTGGGCCTCTGTTCCCACATTCATACCTCCCCCCACTCCAGTACCCCACCATCACCACCATCTCCTACCACCCTGAGCTGGGATGCCTCCCAGGTACTGATTAGGCTGCTCCTGCCATTTCTCAGAACCAGGCCGAGAGCCCTCTGGCACCCTATTCATCTAAAGTCTTACTGAACCCAATTTAACCCATTGGATTCTAGGAGACATCTCATGGATACTGATTATATATGGGTTCTTTACATTCAAAAACAATACTCTCAACAAGTGATAGGGATGACATAAAAGAAAACATTTGTTCATTCACTCACTCATTCATTCAGCATATATTCATTGCATACTTCCTGGAGCTGGACATAGGAGCTAGTAAGATAACTATTGCCTTTGACCTTACAGTGCTAATTGTCCCTGGAAGCCCTAGACATGTACATGGACAATTATAAAATACAGCAGAACTGTATTATGGGAGGAATAGGACTCTACAGGTGTTCAGAGAAGATCAAGATGATTAAATTCCTTAAAATATTAAAAATAAATTGATTTTGATTAGCTTAGTTTAACTTTCTTGTCTTCTTATTCTACAAATTATCCTTTTTTTTTTCACGTTTATAAGTGAAGTAAAATGGAGCTTGGACAGTTCATTCAACACATTTAGACCAAAATACAGAACTTGTTTCCTTAAATACCTGGCTATTTCAAGCAAGAACATTTGATCATGAAATAATAATGCTGAAATGTTTTATTCTGAAAAGCTTCTTGTATTTTACACTTTAAATACAATTATAGATCATAAAGATGATAAAATATTTCAGTAGAGCTGGAGATGTTTTATGTAGGTGAAGAAAGGGATAAGAATGAGAAAGGGGAAAAGGTAAGAAAAGGCAGACTAAAAAAAAAAGAAATAAGGAATATGTAGAATAACAGATCATGTTTTGACACCTCTCATTTCCTTCAAGGTTTAGTCCCAGTCTTCACAGTCTTAAGTTTCTAGTAAATTCTAAGTAGTGTGCCCATGTGTCTCTCAGCCCTTCCATTCCCTCTCCTATAAAATGGACATCATGACACCTATTTCCCAGGGTTGTTGTAAGGATCACATAAGATACTGTGTGTGGGAAAATGCTCTGTAAAACCATAAAGTGCTTTAAACACGTAAAGTATGCTTCACACTGGTCTCTCTGAACTGGAACTACTGTTCCTTGCTGGTACCACGCAGACATGTAAAATCTGTAATCAGAATAGGAGTGAAAGCACAATGAAAATGTGAGAAGCCAAATAAATGTCACGGACAAAAAGAGAGATGCTAGAGAATAAGATAAGATTTTACATTAGATAGAGCAACACGAGTGTGACCAGATCGCAAATCAATGAGTTTGTCTGAGCCAAGCAGAAGAGCATAAGTTATAAATAAAAGAAGTGACTAAACAGAGTGCATGCCAGAGGCCAGAAGCTGTCGACAGAGGTCAGAACAAAATGTCAACCTCATAAAGCAAGAGTCCAGGCTCTGAAGGATGAAGCAGGAGCCCAAGACTGTGCTGATGAGAAAGCTTCAAGAAACATTGAAACAAATTAGAGTTGTCAGTGGTTCTCTGCTGGGTCTGCACCTGCATGACACCAAAGTCTCCGTGAAAAAGAAAAAAGAAAAAAAGAGGAAGTAGAGGAATCAGCTAGTCTTCAGATGGTCCTTAACATTAGAAAACTGACAACGTTGACTGGCCCATTATTGTAGACACATGGAGATGAGTGGGATCTCTTTGCCCGTGGTTTAATCAGATGTGACTTCCTACCCCACTCTGTGCTGGGGGACAGCTAGCACCTGGGGAACCTCTTCTGTTACTAGCAGACCTTGGTTGACATTGGCCACAGCATGACTCTGATCCTACAGATTGTGGGAGACAATTCCAGGGGACTCTGTTCATACATTGTCTGACACCCTCAACTACAAATTAGGGAAGAAAGGCGTCATTTCTCTCTTGAGACAAAAATAGATGCTGAATGCTCAGTTCACATGCACAAGTCTACCACTTTGAGTAATGCACAGTGAAAAACAGGTCTATACCAAGCTCTCATGCTTGTCACAAGAGTTCCTCTGCTCTGTTCTCACCCAACTTGGAAGGGTAAGTGTTTCAAAATTCCTGTTATATGATTAAACACTTTGTGTGAGGCTCTGTCTTGAACATACCAATTAGCAATGTGTCATTGGTTAGTATTTTTTACTGTGCTTTGTTCATGCCTATAATTAGGATGTGGATTTAAAGTGTCTTATTTTGAAACTCATACAAGGATATGAAATATCAATTTGTCTTCCCAATGATTTCTACTGAGGACTCAGCACAATCTTAAGTGATTTCTGGCCTTTCTCAAAGCATTCCACCGACCAAAGTGAAACCTGTCCTCCAAACACTAAATAATTATAACAATGAACATTTAGAGAATATTGGGTGTTCACCGGGGCTTTGGATGCATTATCTCATTTAATCCTCAGAAGTACCTTTGAGGTAGATACTATTATTATTCCCATTCTATAGATTGGAAATTGAAGCTTACCGCTGATAAATGTAAGAGCAGGAATTCAAAGCCAGACGTAT